CACAAGGTAGTTAGCTCATGCGCACGGTAAGCATGCTGGAAAGAAGCAGCACTAGAACTTAGCAGAAGAGGATATTGACCAAGCATGTAACAACAATGATAGGACACTATAACATTGAGCTCACCTCTTTGTGCTGGAAGGCCCTGTTCAAGATGTTGAGCTGCTCAAGCACGTCTGCTATGAAAAACAGGAGAAAGTGAAACCTGTAGCTTATCACGAGCACATACAGCTCCGCGTCCCACTCCTTCAGCATCACGATGAGAGCCGGCAACACTTTCAGAAGCCTCTGCACCGCGTCACCCCTCGATAGCCAGCGGACGCTATGAATGCCTTGCAGCTCGAGTGAAGTTGACGTGAAAACTTCCTGCAAGCCCATGAAGCGCTGGTGCCATGGCCAGCAGCTCACATAAAGTGTTCATCACTCACGTCGTATAGTAGGTGCCGTACCCCTTCTTTGGGAAGCCCTGCACGCCCTTCTCCGCCAGATACCGCACCAGTTTCACCCACATCCCCATGGGCGCGTCGGACCTGCTGACGAACAGCAACGAGTCGAGAAGGGCGATGACGCGTAGCTTCTCAGTATCAACCGTTGCGCGATGTTGGTCGATAAGCGGCTGCGTCGCCCAGCACTCCTGCGCAGATGTCAACCTCGCCATCGCCAGCTTGTGCTGCACCGTGCCAGCATGTTTCCGAAACGATTGTGTCTGCAAATCGGTAGCACCTTTCCCACTCCTCCCGCACTTGCCTGCATCGCCAGCAAATGACACACACAAAGTACACTTGAACGCAGGCAAACCAGAGGCGACTTTAGTGATCCGAAGCCAAGGAAAACGAGCAAACCAGAGACTCTTGAACTTGTCTATCGCCTCATCGTAGACTTCTTCGATGAGCTCGTCCAGGTTGATGTTAAGGCGTGGACGCGGTCGCTCAGATGTTCCGGGGGCGTTGACGTCGGCGGACGACGGCGATGCCTTGCAGAAGCCCAATGTCGCCTGCTTGAGCCGAATCGTACACGCCGTGGTCATAGGCGAATGCTACGAGGCCGCACCCACAGTTGGTTCCGCAGGTGTCTCTGCCACAGGTTCGGCAGACAGTGAGATAACCGTCAAATTATAATGTTGTCTAGGCTTTAGTGGGGTAGCCCATATGGGGTACACATTTCTAGGGTTGCATATTTGTATCACTTTCATTCCATAGTCATTCATTCTTGTTCTAATTTCCTCATGGTATCGAGCAGGTTCCCCCGTGGGAACTGTGCCTAGGGCCCACCACATCGAGTTTTTCTTTTTTCCTGCCCGAAGCGCGCTCACCCCGAGTAGCGCTCAGGGCTCTCACTTCGTCGAGCCGCCCTAGTGGCCCCAACGCCCTAGCGGCCCCGCAGCCCGTCGATTAGGCCCCGCCGCCCTTCGCTGCGGCCCCGCCGCCCTTTGCTTCGGCTCCGCCGCCCTTCGCTGCGGCCCCGCAGCCCTTCACTGTGGCCCCGCCGCCCTTCACTGCGGCCCCGCCGCCTGTCTCAGCGGCCCCGCCGCCCTTTGCTGCGGCCCCGCCGCCTCTCTTGCTGCAGCCCCGCCGCCCTTCTCAGCGGCCCCGCCGCCCTTCGCTGCGGCCCCGCCGCCCGTCTCAGCGGCCCTGCCGCCCTTCGCTGCGGCCCCGCCGCCCTTCCCTGCGGCCCCGCCGCCTCACACTAAGGCCCCGCCGCCCTTCGCTGCAGCCACGCCGCCCTTCTCTGCGGCCCCGCCACCTCTCTCACTGCGGCCCTGCCGCCCTTCTCAGCGGCCCCGCCGCCCTTCAAGGCGGCCGCGCCGCCCTTCACTCCGGCCCCGCCACCCCTCCCACTGCGGCCCCGCCACCTACCTTGCGGCCCCGCCGCCCTACCAGCGGCCCTACCGCCCTACACCGCCCGCGCCGCCCGAGCCGCCCGAGCCGCCTGAGCCGCTGAGGAGCCGAGCCGCCCGAGCAGCCCGAGCCGCCCGACCTGCCCGAGCCGCCCGAGCCGCCTGAGCCGCTGAGGAGCCGAGCCGCCCGACCCGCCCGACCCGCCCGAGCCGCCCGAGCCGCCCGAGCCACCTGAGGAGCCGAGCCGCTGGTGCCGCGGAGCCGCAGTTGCTGCTGAGCCGTCCGAGCAGCCGTGTTGCCGTAATGCTGTGCTACTGAGCTGCCCGAACCGCCCTGTCTGGTGAGAGCAGAGCTTCTGTCACTGCACTGCCCCTGTCCTACAGTTGGTACTGCTAGTCTACTGTTGTCATGGCTACCCCTAGTGTCCTCGCGTTTGACGCTGAGGGTCGAGCCATTGACTTTGAGGTCTGGGTCGACGACCTGCAGCTGTTCTTACAGTGCGATAGGGCAGACGGTCTCTCTCTCTTTGACCTCACCTCTGGCGCCTCTCCTGCCCCTGCTGCTGATGCTGACCCCATAGTTCGCTCCCAGTGGGCCACGCGCGATGCTGCTGCACGTCTTGCTGTGCGTCGCCACCTGCCTACCACTGAGCGCGCGCACTTTAGTCAGTACAAGAGTGCTCAGACCTTGTACGACGCTGTAGTTGCGCGCTACTCTTCCCCTGCCACTGCTGCACTGAGCCGCCTCATGCTACCGTACCTCTTCCCTGACCTTGCTGCCTTTCCCACAGTCGCTGACCTCATTACGCACCTCCGCACTAGTGACACTCGCTACCGCGCCGCGCTTCTTGCTGAGTTCTGCGCCAAGAACCCCCCCCCCATGTACATCACTCTCTATTATATAGTCACCCGCCTCCCTGACTCCCTTCGCGTAGTCAGGGACCACTTCCTCTCCGTCTGTCCCACCACTCTCACTGTTGACCTCTTAGAGAAGGCCCTCATAGCAGCGGAGAAGAGCATAGTCGCTGTAGGAGCCTCTCGTGGTGACCCTCGCACCCCCATCTTTGAGGGGTGTTCTCCTTCCCCCCTTTTGCCCTCTGTCGCCTCTACCGCTGCGGCCGACCTCGTTGGTCTTGAGTCGGTCGGTGCGGCGTCTGCCTCTAGCGGGAGACGCCGCTCTGGCAAGGGCAAGGGGGGCAAGGGTGCGGGTGGAGCTAGCGGGGGCGGTGGAGGTGGCGGTGGAGGCGGAGGAGGGAGTGGGGGTGGCGGTGGGAGTGGTGGCGGGGGTGGAGGTGTCAGTGGCAGCAGTGGAGGCGGAGGCGGCGGAGGCGGCGGCGGTGCTAGCGGAGGCGGCGGTGGTGGCGGAGGTGGAGGAGGCGGTGGTGGAGGAGGTGGCGGTGGTCGGGGTGGCGCTTCGCAGCGAGCAGCCCTGGTGGTGGTCAGCGCCAGCAGCAGCAGCAGCAGCAGCAGCAGCGTTCTCGGGACATTCCCCCCCCTCAGCAGCTCCGTGAGTGGTATGCGCAGCGTCAGCGTGGTGGGGGTTTTGGTCCGTGCACCTACGTCCTCCGCTCCGGCGACCGCGCGGGTGAGCAGTGTGGGGGTGCCCACCCCACCCAGCACTGCTTTGGCCGCCTGACGGACGCTTGGCGTCAGCAGTTCCCGGAGGCCAGTGAGATCCCCCGCTGGGGAGAGCTTTCTAGGGCAGGCGTAGCTATCTATGATCTTGACTTTGATGCTATCCTTGCTTCCATGTATGCTGTGACTATTAGTGATGAGGGTGACTGTTACCGGTGTTTCCCGCCCGACCTGGGCATTGGTACTGCTGCTCTAGGTGCTGGTGAGGCTGCTGCTCTAGGTGCCAGTGCGTCTGCGCCCTCAGGTACTGGTGAGGCTGCGCTCTTAGGTACTGCGTTGGCTTCAGCCTCCCTCACCTTCACACTTGACTCAGGGGCTTCTCGCTCCTTCTTTCGAGACCGCACCACACTCACGCCGCTTGGTCGGCCGGTTGCAGTCTCCCTGGCTGACCCCTCTGGGGGCCCTGTCCTCTCTCACTTCTCCACTGTCCTCCCGTGTCCGGCTGCCCCCTCGGGCACCCTGTCAGGTGCTGGTGAGTCTGCGCTCTCACGTACCACGTCGGCTTCGGCCTCCCTCACCTTCACACTTGACTCAGGGGATTCTCGCTCCTTCTTTCGAGATCGCACCACACTCACGCCGCTTGGTCGGCCGGTTGTAGTCTCCCTGGCAGACCCCTCTGGGGGTCCTGTCCTCTCTCACTTCTCCACTGTCCTCCCGTGTCCGGCTGCCCCCTCTGGCACCCTCTCTGGTGTTTACCTCCCCTCGTTCTCTACGAACTTGGTGAGTGGTGCTGACCTGCAGGATACGGGGGTTCACCAGTTTACTCCTGCGAGTCAGCGGGTGACCCATTGCTCGGACGCTCGCACAGGCCGGCACCTGGCCACGTTTACGCGTCGGCCGGGGTCGAGCCTCTACACCCTGACCACTAGGTCTCCTCCTGTCCCTGCGTCTAGCCAAGTAGCTGCGTCGGGTCAGGTGTTTGCTGCAGCGTCCAGGTCTGGTCCTGAGTCTGCCCCCTGCTCGTGTCGCCTCCTGTCTCACGAGACTCTCCTATGGCACCACCGTCTTGGTCACCCCTCCCTGCCTCGTCTCTGAGGCATGGCTTCCCGTGTCCTTGTCTCTGGTCTCCCCCGTACCCTCCCTCCCCTTCCTTCAGGGCCTGGTCCTTCCTTTGTTCCATGTGTCGAGGGGCGGCTCCGGGCTGCCCCTCACTCCTCTCAGTTTCCCCCGACAGAGGCCCCGTTGTAGACGCTTCACATGGACGTGTGGGGCCCGGCCCGCGTCCGTGGACAAGGTCACGAGCGCTACTTCCTGCTGGTGGTTGACGACTACTCGCGTTACACCTCAGTCTTCCCCTTGCGCAGCAAGGGTGTTGTCACTGAGGTGTTGATCGACTGGATCCGCGCAGCTCGTCTCCAGCTAAGGAGGAGCTTTGGCTCGGACTTTCCTGTTCTGCGTCTGCACTCTGACCGAGGCGGAGAGTTCTCCTCTGGCCTTCTGCGAGCCTACTGCCGTGCGCGAGGCATCCGTCAGACCTTTACACTTCCGGACTCTCCACAGCAAAATGGGATTGCTGAGCGCCGCATTGGCATGGTCATAAACGTCGCTCGTACGTCCATGATGCATGCGACTGCCCCCCATTTTCTGTGGCCATTTGCGGTCCGGTACGCGGCGCATCAGATCAACCTTCACCCCAGGGTCTCCATGCCGGAGACCTCCCCAGCTCTGCTGTGGACGGGGAAGGTAGGCGATGCGTCTGCGTTCCGTGTCTGGGGATCTCGGGCGTTTGTCCGCGAATTGTCTGCGGAAAAACTGTCCCCTCGTGCTGCTCCTTGTGTCTTCCTTGGCTTCCCCCCTGACGCACCAGGGTGGCACTTCTACCACCCCGTGTTCTGTCCTCCCAGGACGTCACGTTTGACGAGTCGCTCCCCTACTACCGTTTCTTCCCCTACCGCATTCCTTCCCTCCCCCCGCCGCCGCACTTCCTTGTGCCAGGTCCCCCCCAGGTAGACCCCCTCCCCCCTCAGGGTCCTGCCCCTTCCGGTGTGTCCTAGGTAGACGTAGTCGAGCCGGTCGAGGTTGCTGGTGACTCTGGTACTGCTGCGGGTACTGAGCCTGGGGGTGCTGACTCTGGGGGTGCTGCTCGAGTGGGTGCTGAGCCTGGGGGTACTGAGCCTGGGGGTGCTACGACTGAGGGTGCTGAGCCTGGGGGTCCTTCGCCTGGGGGTGCTGCGTCTGGAGCTGCTGAGCTTGGGGGTGCTGCGTCTGGAGCTGTTGAGCCTGGGGGTACTGAGTCTGGAGCTGCTGAGCCTGGGGGTGCGGAGCCCGCGGCCGCTGGACCTGCTCGTGTGGCGTCTGGCGGTGCTGGGCCTGCTGGTTCTCTAGGTGCTTCGTCTCGGCGGGAGCCACTCTCTCCACAAGAGCTGCGCGAGTGGTTTGCCCGGCGCTGGAGGCGTACTGCTGGAGCTGGTGCTTCTTCGGCTGCTGAGGGTGCTGGTGCTGCCGGTCTCGGAGGTGCTAGCCCTGGGAGTGCGAGTGCGACTGGAGTCGGAGCTGCTGAGGGTGTTGGCGCTGAGGCTACTGCTGTAAGTCCTAGCAGCGGTCATGCTGCGGGTGCTGCTGGAGGTACTGGAGCTGGAGGTGCTGTTGGCGCTGGTGCTGCCACTGGGGGTGCTAGTGCTGTCCCTGCTGTGTCTGGAGTCGCCGCGCGGCCTCGGCCGTACTTTGTTCCGCTCCTTCAGCAGGTTCTTAGTCTTCCTCCTCCCTTAGAGTGTCCACCACCTATCCAGTCACAGTCACAGTTACCACCGGCCTCCCCACTGCCTGCTCCTTCTCCCTACACTGGTCCTACTGGAGGTCTTGCTGAGCGTCGTGAGCCTGCGTCTCGTCCTGCGTCGCCGGTTCGTGCTGCTCGCGCTAGTGGTCGCGGTTCGCGTCAGCGTCCTCCTCCTGTCCCTGGCACGCACCGGATGTCTCTGCGTCCGACCACTGCTCCTCTGCGTGCCCCTTTGCCTTCTCCCATTGAGTCCTCTCTTCCTGCCCTTGCCGACCCGGAGTCGGACTCTCTTCGTGCTGCCAGTCCTACTGTCACGCGTCTCCTTGCTACTGTCGTCACTGACCCCTCTTTTGAGTCCACTGCTGCGTCTGCTCTTGTTGCTGAACTCGTCGACTTTGCTGCTCGCTGTCGTCTAGACTACGCTGCCAGTCTTGTTGCTGAGTCTGCGTCTGTCTGTCCTCCGTCCGTCGGGGGTGAGTGTGCTCTTGGCACGGACGTCCTTGAGGACAGGCAGGAGGAGTTCCAGTGTCTGGCTGCTGCTTCACCTCATCTCGTGTCCGTACTGCTTACCCCTGAGGGAGACCCGGATGCATTTGACATCCCGACTCCGCGCTCTTACGCGGAGGCCGTAGAGGGTCCCTACTCCTCTCACTGGCATGCAGCTATGGATGCAGAGATGGCTTCCTTGAAGTCCACAGGCACCTACGTTGACGCGGTTCCCCCACCTGGGGCGAACATCGTCAGTGGCATGTGGATCTTCAGGGTGAAGCGGCCGCCGGGCTCTCCGCCTGTCTTCAAGGCGCGGTACGTGGCTCGTGGCTTCAGTCAGCGGCAGGGAGTTGACTACTTTCAGACCTTCTCTCCCACCCCGAAGATGACCACTCTTTGGGTGCTACTACACATAGCCGCTCAGCGTGACTACGAGCTTCACTCCCTTGACTTCCTGCAGGGTAGCCTGCACGAGGAGATCTGGCTGCGCCGTCCACCTGGCTTCACTGGGACTTTCCCTCCTAGGCACCCAGTGGAGCCTCCGACGGCCAGTCTACGGTCTCCGCCAGGCACCGCGCGAGTGGCACGACACACTGAGGACTACGCTTGCGGCTCTTGGGTTTGCTCCCTCTACTGCTGACCCGTCGCTGTTTCTACGCACCGACACCTCTTTGCCGCCGTTCTACATCCTCGTGTACGTCGACGACTTGGTCTTTGCCACTGCTGACACTGCTGGACTCGCCCACGTGAAGTCCGAGCTGCAGAAGAGACACACGTGCACAGACCTGGGTGAACTGCGCAGCTACCTTGGCTTGCAGATCACTCGGGACAGAGCACGCCGCACCATTACCCTGACTCAGTCACACATGGTGCAGCAGGTCCTTTAGCGCTTCGGCTTCACGTACTCCTCGCCTCAGGCCACTCCTCTATCTACTCGCCACTCGCTCTCAGCTCTGCCTTCGGATGAGTCCGTAGAGCCGAGTGGCCCATACCCAGAGCTTGTTGGCTGCCTCATGTACTTGATGACCTGCACACGACCTGACCTTGCATACCCTCTTAGCATTCTTGCACACTATGTTGCTCCTGGGAGACACCGACCAGAGCACATGGCTGCAGCGAAGAGTGTATTGCGCTACTTGTGCAGTACGTCGGGCATGGGGCTAGTGCTTGGAGGGCGCAGTCCAGTGGTCCTCACTGGGCATGCAGACGCTTCTTGGGCAGACGACCAGGCTACGCAGCGGTCGTCACAGGGTTACACCTTCAGCCTTGGTTCCGGCTCTGTTTCGTGGCGGGCTACTCGCTCGTCTTCTGTTCTCGGCTCCAGTTGTGAGGCCGAGATCTACGCCGGGGCCATGGCTGCACAGGAGCTTCGCTGGCTCACCTACCTGCTGACCGACGTTGGAGAGCCGCCTCGTTCTCCTCCAGTCCTGTACGTAGACAACAAGGCCATGCTGGCCTTGTGTCGAGAGCAGAGACTGGAGCACAGAACAAAGCACATTGCTCTTCGCTACTTCCTTGCTCGTGAGCTACAGCAGCGTGGTCAGTTGCGGCTTGCGTACGTGGCCTCTGAGGCCAACACTGCTGATGTTTTCACCAAGGCACTTGCGCCTTGTCATCATCAGCGCTTCTTTACTCAGCTTGGTCTTGTGCCTGTCTTGCCTCACTTGCTCACTTCTTGACCTTGCTTGTATTGTCACATATATATACACCTGCTCTTGTTTGCTTAGCCTTTTATATATATATATGTATATGTGCTCCTGCATGTGAACTGGCCTTCTGGCCTTGAACTTGTGCTCGGAATGTGTGGTGACTTTGTGATCCACCCTGAGCTTTGCTTTGCTTTGCTTGACTGGTCTTGTGACCCCTTGTTCTCCCCCACTTTGCCTATGGGGGTGTGTCAAATTATGCTGTTGTCTAGGCTTTAGTGGGGTAGCCCATATGGGGTACACATTTCTAGGGTTGCATATTTGTATTACTTTCATTCCATAGTCATTCATTCTCGTTCTAATTTCCTCAATAACCGGTGCCGTCGGTTCTTTCTGTGTGGGGATCGTATTGGGCGTGGTGCATGCTTCCTTGTCGAGTTCTAATGTACTGAGAAGAAAGTCTAAGCCTGTTAAGGCAGGCTGGGAATTAGGGTCGGGATCGCTGGAGCCGGGATTGTCTAGCACCGCCATGGCGGGGTTCAGAAAGAGCCTGCCGAGCAGGAACAAGAAATGTGTTCGCGAGGCAGATGTAGGGACTGGCTGAGGCCAGTCAACACTAGCTAGGGGGTGTGGATGAAACCCTAGCTGAAAGGTGATGGCAATAGACAAGGCAAGGAGGACCCGTTGAGGTGGATGGGTGGTTGCCTTGCATGCACGACAACGACGAGGCGCGTTAGAAGTGCAATGCTGTCAGCGTTGTGTCGTGGGTGGCTAGTGCAGCATCGTGGGTGCAAGGCCGGTCCGTGATGGCACACAGAAGCTGCCATAAGGACCAATCGGTGCTCTAGCAGGGTGTGCGCTGGTGTTTACGTAGGAAAAACCGCGTCGCAGGGCGGCCACGCCCACAAAACTTGATTGTTGATGTGTGGTCCCAGGTTACGCGTGATTGACCACCCAGGTACACGTACTAGCGCAAATCGTGGGTGTGGGTGCCAAGGTACATTGAATCAGTTTCAGAGTCCGTACGCATTTGACTTTGAATTATCAGAGTACAGTCAAAACAATCTCTGAAATTGCAGACTTGGCTTAAAAAAAAAATCTGAATTTAACAGACAACACTTAAAAAAGTCTGAATTTAACAGATAACACAAAAAAAAAGTCTGAGAAATCAGACTTTTATAGGCAAATCAGAGAAATTTCTCTGACTTCATGGGGCCTGTGTCACACTGATAATCAAGTTTTTGAATAGGTGCAACACTAATCACAAGGGTTGCTCAAAACCAAAAATTAGCCCTGGGCCGCCAAGCATCATCACGTCCATACAAATTTGTGTCGAGCTGCCAGCGAAGCGAAATGCTGGCAAGCGCTCAAGGCCACATGCAAGAGAGAATTACTGTAGAACCTGGATCGGTGATTCATCCTTACTCGCAAGGCCTCGAATTACTCGTGTGGCAACCCAATTTGGTGATAATTGTCAAGATAGCAAGCATCAATGATTGCATTGAATGAAATATGGGTACAAGTACTATCCCTAACTTCGGGTTGTACCCCATACGGGCTACCCCACTATAGCCTACACAGAACTAACACATATATAGTTTGACACACCCCCATAGACAAAGTGGGGGAGAACAAGGGGTCACAAGACCAGTCAAGTAAAACAAAGCAAGCTCGGGGTGGATCACAACGTCACCACACACTTGAGCACAAGCAAAGAGCAGGGACGTCGCTAGTCAAAAAGGCTGTCTTAGAATCAGACAGAATTTCTGGCATTAGTCTGACCATCAGACGGATTTGTTAGCGTTGTGTGACATTTTAGATGAAAGTGGTTTGAAATGTCTGTCGATTCAGACAATGTTTAAATACTAGTCTGTAGCTAACATTAGTACGTTAGAAGTTAAACCTACTCAGTCTCACTATCAGATTCACTAGAACAAACAGAGCAAGAATCCTCGTCATCATCCTCTGATGCTACGACTACTTGACGCTTCTTCCTCCTCCACGCGGGGATGAGTGCCTCCTCGGCGGCTACTTTTTCTCTCTCCCTCGCCGCTGCCGCCTCTGCTTCACGCGCAGCTCTTGAGGCTGCGGCTGCTGCTGCTTTCGATGCTGCGGCTGCTGCTGCTTGAGCCGCCGCTGTTGCACGCTTTGCTCGCTTCACAGAGCGCCCCGCCTGTGCCATCACGACCTTCTTAGCTGGCCGGTGCTTCTTGCTCCCGTGCCACACCGACATGATCCCCTGCGGCTCCAGCTCGTAATCAAGCAATGACACCGTCATCAGCTCCCCGATGGTTGCATCACAAAGGTTGCCGCGAATCCAGCTCTTAATAATGTTCTGCCGGCTAAACCCCCGCTCGCACTCAACTGTGCTGAGCAGGAGCACGGCCACTGCCATCCACAGCCTGACAAGGTTCGGGTAGGCTGCGGTCCAATCGTCGCTCGCAAGCATGTGCTTTAAGCTGTCGTGGAACGAGAGGTCCTCATGGTGGGTAGCGATGATGCTAGTGAAACTCCACAACTCCTTCTTAGCCTTGCCCCAGTGGATGCCTGTTGATCCAAACGATAGGGAGGAGGCAGACACAAAGGAGACATATTAGACGTTGTTGAATGTAGTTTAGTGTCAACATTACCGCGTGGCACGTCTTTGACTCACCCGGAAGTGTGTCGGGATCACCCGGCTTTCGCGCTTCGCCCGAGAGCTAGGATAAGCACTCTGACGGAACAGCTGCGCGCCTTTCAGAGCAGAGAGGTCCTGCATCCGCTCGGTGAGGTTGGAGACGACTTCTGTGGCAAAGTCTGTGGCGAGTTTGATGCACGCCTGCAGGTCCGATCCGCTGGTCTGGCCCTTCAGGTGCTTCTCGTGCAGCACATACTTGTGGGTGGTGGGCGTTCCGTCCGCATCAACACCATCCACTTCCACTTCGCGCTTCTTTACGTTAGCATGAGCTTGCAGGAACTTTGCCAGTCTGCCGCTGTTGTCTCCGAAAGTCTCCTTGTAGTCGACGTAACGGCCGTTGAGGGTGTTCACAGCGTGCAAAAGGGCCGGTTGTACGACCGTCACATCAACCTGTTTTTAGGGAGGGACAAATAACAACAATGGTTTAGGTTAAAACATGCTAGGATCAACCTGTCTTACGCGTGGGACGAATAACATCACAAGAACTGTTCAGCACTCCTTACCTGACGATGCTGAAACTTCAAGTTGAGGATGTTCAGCTCCTTCAACACATCCGCAAGGAAGTATAGAAGAAACTGAAACTTGAAGCTAGTGACGATGTCGTGCGTTTTCTTCTCGTACTCGTACAAGAGCAGGACCGCTGCTGGGAGCACCTCCGCGAATCTTTGAATGGCGTCTCCACGGGAGAGCCACCGGACACTGTGAATTCCCTGCAACTCGAGGTTTGGTTTCTGAAACCACCTCTTGCAGCTGCATGAATCGTGCGTGCTTCGGGCCTGATCGGCCGAGGAGATCTGCGACTTGACGTACAACTTTGTCAATGATCCCAAGTCCGGGAAAGCTGTGGCTGCATCCTTCGTGGCTAAAGCCTCTCTGCCAATAAAAAACAGCAAAGTCAGAACATCATATTGCAACTGAAATGCGTCAGTAAAGACGGGTTTTGTAAAACAACGCATACCTGTGAGCGATACAATGACATGAGACCAAGTGAGGTACTCTTGTACGCAGCTGCGCCACCAAGCCGGTTTTACCGCCCGTCATCACGCTGGCACCGTCGGTGGAGATGCCAGAAAACCGCATGAGATCCACTCCATTCCCTTCAAGGTGAGTCAGCAGGAACGCCATGAGGGACGCCGCGTCACACTTGTCGACGGACAAGTTGGCGAAGAACTCTGTGACCACAACCCCATGCTTGAGAAACGTGAGGTACACGATGAGATGTTTCCCGCGCCGCCTGTCGGTGCTTTCGTCAAGCTGAATCCCAAGGAACGGACTCTCACGGATGTGTCGCAGTTGCTGCGCCTTCAGGTAGGAGACCATCGTCTCCATGAGCTGCTTGAAACCTTACCTGCCAAACCATCATACAGTGCGTATTCGTAAAAGGCCAAACATATTTATAAAGCGGACGCTAAAACACTACTTACTTGCTCGTGTACGTGCCGTGATCCTTCAATGGGAGATGCGGCGTCCCCATCTCTGCCATGAACTGAACGAGGGAAACAAAGAGGGCGATCGGAGCTTCAGATTTGCAAATGAAGTGCGCGATTAACAGCAACTTGAAGAGGCGCTCAGACTCAGGATCATCTTGTGCAAACTCTGCAATCGACACCTGCTTCGGTTTCTTCCCCTCGCGTAGCTCCTTCCTCTCGAGCGCTGCTTCGTGCTTGATGCTGTGCTAGTGCTTCCGCATAGTCTGCTTCTGGATGTCAATCCCGCCTTCGCCATTTCTCCCGTACTTGTAGTCGGGGTCGCCGTAGGCAATGCAAACCGTACACTTCATGCACGGGCGTCCCTCGTTGGTCTCTGAAATTATTAGCCACGGAAAGTACCGTGACCACTGCTCCTTGGCCTTCAATTGGAGCTCTTCTACAGTCAGAGGGAACGGCCCGTCGTCAGTTGAAGGAGCTGCACGCGTGTCACGTTTGTCCTCAGCATCCGGTGCAGGTGGTGCGGTGGTGGCATGCCGACCGAAAGACAGCTTCTGCTGCTTGTACTTCTTTGAGCCTGGAAAACGTGGAGGAAGGAATGGAGCACGAGTGTTTTTACACACATCAGCGGGTGATGACAACGGAACCGAAGTGGTGCGAACGGGAGAGCATGCGGCAACGCAAGATGGGAGCGGCGAGGGCGGAAGGGAAGAGGCATTCAATGTGTCGTCGCTGTTGTTGACAGGTTTGAAGGGGTATGGCGCATCGGGGGTGACTGGAACATTGACGCTTGCAGGTGCGGGGCTAGGTTTGGCCCTGCCGCTTGGCCCTGTCAGGAAATCAAGGCCTGTACGCCTCTCGGTAGCGACGGAATCAACGGGAGAGGTAGTATTAGGAACTGTGGGTGGTGCTTCATGGCGCCCATCGGA